ATCCTAATTCCATGGAATACATTAATTCTATTTTGGTTTAATATGTAGCTAGTGGGAAAAAAATTTACACTATAACTCTTATCACATAGCTGATTAATACTCAGCAAGTTATGTTTTAAGCATTCTATAAGTAAAATTATTTCAATAAAAAATTATTTAAGTTTCCAATCATACATGTGCCTACCACTTTCCTGGTGGTATTATCTCCTAGTGTAACCTTGCCTCCATTCCTGACTTCCAGCGATATAAATTATATAGTGTCTCCAATCATATGCTTCAAACATCCACTGTTCATGTACCAAATGCTCTCACGAGATCTTGTATGAGAGTATTTTTATAAGATAATCAAATGTTAGTCTTGGAAATCCAAATAAGTTTGAGTTCTCCTCTTGGCAAAAATAAACTAGATGCATGTTTGATATAACTTGTTTTATGCATCTTAGGTCTCCACACTAAATGAGTTTTAATATGAATAATACTAGTGTGGGAGATATGCCCAAGTAATTCATAAGAAAAGTGTCTTACTTGAAGAAAATGATTTATTAATCTACATGTATTAAACTATCTTTTTCTAGATTTTAAAAATTTTGTCTTTTTATCAGGATTAAAAAATTGTTTAGGTGTAGGTGGAATCCTAATTTTCTCAAGTGCTTTCAATTGAGCTTTAAAAAAATGAGTTTGCACTTTCTAACACAACATTGTCAACTTTAAATAATGTTCTATATTATCAGATTCATCCATAAATATTTTAAAATCATTTTCAAGTTTAGTGTGGGATGATTTTAATAGTTTATGCTATTTATTTAATTCATCAAACTCATCCAAAAATTTTATGAGGTTACTATCAATTTATGTGTGATCTTTCCTAAGGATTTCATGCTATTTTTATAATTCTATGAAATCTAAGTTTAATCTTGCATGCATCTTTTTGAGTTTTATATATGTAGTATGTATTTTCTCAAAAACATTAAAAAAAACTCTTCATAAGTTAAGTCACATACCTCTTTTTGATCTAACTAATCAAGCTTGTCAGCCATCAAACATAGGTTGGTGACTTCCTCCTCTGCTTCTGTTTCTAAGGAATCCAAAGTTGAGTCCGCCCAAAATGCTCTCTATAATTTTCTCTTGCCTTTCCTCACATTTGCTTTCTCCTCGACCTTCTCCTTATTAGGATTAACTTTAAGATTTAGGCAAGCTTATTTGATATGTCCAGGCTTCTTGCATTGATAGCAAATAATATCATTAGAAGTTTTATTATTTTTGTAGAACTTACCTTTATTCTACTTGATGTCTCCTTTATTTTCTTTTTAGAAAACTCCTAAATTGTCTTATCATCAAGGCAATGTCATCTTCATCCTCAGGCTGAGACTGATCACTCTCAGAGTCATCCACTTTCAATGATATATTCTTCTCCTTTTGCTTCTCACATACATCAATATGTCTCTAAGTCATTCCTTACTCAGTAAGTAATTAGTGATTCAAGAAGAATGTCAATAAAATAAATTGATAAATCTTTAGACTATATAATATCAATTATTTTCACATCATAAGCAGTAGGCAAATAACAAAGTATTTTATTTACTTTCTCAGCATTCATTTGTTCCCTACCTAAAGCATGCAAGGAGGTGACTATTTGTGTGAAACATGTATATATGTCAGTGATTGATTCATTTAGTTTCATGTGAAACAGTTCATAATCATGCAATAAAATATTCAATCTAGATTATTTCACTCCATTAGTCTCTTTATATATGATACAAAGTATATTCCAAATTTCTTTTTTCATTTATATAGGTAGAAACATACATGTAATCTTTAGATTTAAGTGCACAGAAAAAATTGTTCAAATATTTAGTGTTTAATTGAGCTAAGTCTCATGCTTCTATAGTCTAGTCAATAAATGGTGTTTAAGTTCTAATGCCATCTACAAGTTTAGTTGGCCTGATGTATCCTTCTCATACTAAAATTCACATACTATAGCCAAGCGATTAAAAAAAAGTAGATATTCATATTTTCTAAAAATTGAAAAGGATATTATGAAATAATGGGGGTCTAGTGATTGAATACCCTTCATGTGTGTTACAATTTTTAAAAGTAGCCATGATCATTTTCAAAAAGTTGTTTAAATCTTAATTTTTGAAAGAAAGCTCTAACATCACTTGAAAGTTCATATAGGTTGTTAGACTTAACATAAGAGTCTCAATGCTAACCAAGAGAGGGTTGAATTGGGAATTTAAAAAAATCTTTTGAATAGAAAACCATTTTATAAGTACTTTGCATAATTTAAAAGTTTTAAAAAGCTAAAAAACTTTTTACCCAAAACAAAATTAAAATGTGTGGAAAAATAAAAATATAGAAAAATAAGAACACAAAAATTTATAGTGGTTCGATTCAACTAGACCTACAACCACTCCATGAAGACTCCCTCTTCAAGTATTGCGCTATTACCATAGTGCCTCTTTTTTTGCTCCAACAACAAAGCGGATAAATCTTTATAATTACCCTCTCTTCCACCAATCCCTGGTTCGGTAAAGTATCGTCGTCCTTTCATACCCTCCAAGTGTCGATAGAGTACAGTCATCCTTTCACACTCTTTAAGTATCAATAGAGAACTTTCATCCTTTCATACCCACTTGGTGTCATTACACTCTCTATGTGTCGGTAGAGAATCTGGTCATTTTCAAATATCTTCCCTCGAGCATCTTTAAAGAAGTAAGGAAGAGATTTTCCACAAATATAAAGAGAATCTCACATTTGAGTAACCTTGTGAACTCTTCACACTCTCAACTTATAAGAAATTTCTCTCAAAAACTCTCCCAAATCATCTCTCAAACCTTTATAATTACCCTCTCTTCCACCAATCCCTGGTTCGGTAAAGTATCGTCGTCCTTTCATACCCTCCAAGTGTCGATAGAGTACAGTCATCCTTTCACACTCTCTAAGTATCAATAGAGAACTTTCATCCTTTCATACCCACTTGGTGTCATTACACTCTCTATGTGTCGGTAGAGAATCAGATCATTTTCAAATATCTTCCCTCGAGCATCTTCAAAGAAGTAAGGAAGAGATTTTCCACAAATATAAAGAGAATCTCACATTTGAGTAACCTTGTGAACTCTTCGCACTCTCAACTTATAAGAAATTTCTCTCAAACACTCTCTCAAATCACTCTCACACTTTGCTCTTTAAGAAAAATAAAGAAGGATTTCATCCATAGTTAGTTTATAGGACTTTTTATATGAAAGACACAAAAAATTGGCTAGAAAATTGAATTTTTTCGATTTGACCGTCCACGATCATACAGTACGATCGACGATTGTACGTACAAGCAGTTAAAAAATTGCTCATATGATTCAGTACGAACCGATTTTGTATGTTGATTGACTAGGTATGAACTAACATCGTACATTATGATTATTTCAAAATTGAACAAATTCGTCTGGTATGATTGAGTATGAAATGATTTTGTACTCTGAATAACGTACTGTATAAAATAAATATTGGGTAGTACGAACTATTTTGATCAAACCATGTTTCGTTTGGTATGAAAATGGCATCAACCATTTCGTACTCTAAAAGTCATTTGTACGATTATATAATCGTATAATGCAAACAGTTTAAAAAGTATACCTGATCGTAAGGATGAAAATATATGCATTCATTTCGTACTATAAACGTCGTTTGTACGAACATAAGATCGTACAATATAAATAGTTCAGAAAAAATTAGGAGTTCATTGGGACAAACTGGTACGTATCTATTTCGTACTCTGGAAGGCGTACGTATGAAGCTAACTTCGTACAATACGAATAGGACTTAGAAAAATTTTCCTACATGATTCGTTTAACTACTTTCTGGAGGAATGCTCAAGTAAAATCATACCGTGCAATCAAAAATTGTACAGTATGATTAGTTTTAAAAATTTATAATTTTTTACACTCCACCATGTGTGTGTATGTGCACGATTACCCAATTACAATCACACTCTCTCAGACTCAAGAAAAGTAAAAAAAAAAAAGACTCCAAAAATAGTAAACCCTAATATAATCTGACTTGAAGTCTTCAACTGGCTGGAGTATGATTTTTCTAAAATGTTAGTACACACAAACAACAAAAATAATATATCCAATATATGTTAGGAGAAATAGTTATCAATATAATAATATTTTGGAATAATAAAAACACACATGATAAGAAAACATGGTTATGAAAACTAAGTTGCAACATGTTGGATGTGGAGGGCATTATTATTGAAGAAGATAATCAGAATGTTATCAAGTATCTTCAAGATTCTTTTTGCAAATCTACCTGGAAGGTGGGGAGCCAAGAAGTTCATGATTTTTTATTCTTAAAAGGGATCAATAAGGTTTTATTTCAATGTTCTAATCGTAGTTGTAATAAGTTAGTAAATTTTTTTGCTAACTTAGCTTTGTCTAGTGATTTTATTTGGGATGTAATTAGTGATAATAATACTCCTTCTTTTTGTGTCTTTGTTAAAGGAGAAATGTGATATTTTTTCTATCTCTGAGTATTTTATAATTAGATGCTCTCTTTTTAATGCAAATTACATTTCCTTTCAAAAAAAAACTCAAAATAAATTAAGAATTATCATAACTAATATATATATATATCTCCTAAAATCTACTCTGAAAATTATTTTTTTTGTTGAAGTAATCAGAAATCGAATCGTTCAAATTCTCTCGTACGGAAAATAAAATCCTCCTAACTATGTCACCGAACTACTCCTCAGAGTTAACAGTACAATCATTATTCATAATTCTATTATTTCTTTCTTACCATCAGAGCTGAACGCAATAATCTCCCTTGCCGCCAACGCAATCCCTGCCCGTGAGCAGTCCCGCGGTAGTTTGGCGTGCGGCGCGGTGCTGTAAGCAGCGGTGATAGCCCCCTCCCCAAATGATAAAAAAGCAAAACCTTTTAACAAAAAAATTACCATTACAATACCTTTTCATCAGAAAGCAGAGCTGTCAGTACAAAAACGAAAGCAAAGAACCCAATTCCCACTTCCCCTCTCCCCACTTCTTCTCCCATGGCCCATCTCCCTCCTTCCTCCGCCTTTCTCCTCTCCCTCACCCTCCTCCATTCCTCCGCCGCGGTCTCCGTCGATGTCTCTCCCTGCGACCTCTTCGTCGGCCAATGGCTTCCCGATTCTTCCTACCCTCTCTACCAGTACTCTTCCTGCCCAATCATCGACCCCGAATTCAATTGCCAGCTCTACGGCCGCCCGGACTCCGACTATCTCCGCTACCGGTGGAAGCCAGCTGGTTGTGACCTGCCAGCTTTTAACGGTCTGGATTTGTTAGCAAGGATGAGAGGGAAGACGGTGATGTTCGTCGGCGATTCGCTCGGCAGGAACCAGTGGGAATCGCTCATATGTATGCTCAATGCGGCGGCGCCGTTGTCGGCGGCGGTGATGATGAGAGGAGATCCTCTCTCAACCTATAGGTTTTTGGTACTTAATTTGAATGCGATTATTTTTTTATTAGTATGATTATTGAATGAGTTAATTATGAATAAGATTTTATGAAAAAAATTATTTGAGAATATGTTAATATGTATTTTATTAAGTAAATTTTAAATTTATTTATTTAACTTTAAGATTAATATTAAATATGAAAAGTAAATATCACACTAATTTTAAAATTTATTATTATATAATTTGTGTTGAAATATACTGAAATGTTTTTTTTTTTTTAGATTTTATTTGATGGTATTTAATTTCATATATTTTGATTATATTTAAATATGGAAAAACAAATAATATTATGATCAAATTTTATCATGAGAATATTTAAGATCTTAAATATATTTTTAAATGGGTGTAATATATAAAAATTAATATTATATTAATTTTAAATTAATCTAAAGACTTTATTAATTTCAAATTAATCTAAAGACTTTGATACTCATTCAAATATTCAAATTTATTATTTACTTATTATAAAAAATATGCATATTTTTGTGCTCGAATTCATAGTGCATTAATAAGAAACAAGAATTTTAATGAGTTGGATTCGAGCACTCATTTTATTAAAAAGTATTATTTATTATGATAAATGTATTTTAGACTTTATATCATAAAACAAAATTTATGATGGTGAATAGCTGATAAGTTAATATGTTATGAATATTGGTGGATTTGAATTGAATTACAGGAGTACGAGGTGTCGGTTTCATTTTACAGGGCTCCATATTTGGTGGATATTGATGTGGTGAATGGGGTGAGGATATTGAGGCTTGATGGCATAGAGAAGAATGGAGAGGCGTGGATTGAGGCTGATGTGCTCTATTTTAACACTGGCCATTGGTGGACTCATACAGGAAATTTGCAGGGGTATTCACTACTCTTCCTCCCTCCTGCTTGCTACAAAATTTTGCTAAAAGAGCTCATATTCAGACATAATACCCTTTTGAGCAGCATGCATGGTATATAGTATTAGATAACGATCAAAATTATGGTCTGATTTTTTGTGAAGTATGGAAATAGTCTTGAACTATTTGAAAGTCTTATTTTAATCTCTTTACTTATTTAAAATAAAGATCTAATAGATTTTGCGAAATTGATCTCTATTTAACTAGCCAAAAGATCAAATTGATATTTTTGTATAGTCCGAGATTATTTTGGTTACGATCAATTCGATCCTTTCTCCATGAAAGTTATAAATTTGTATTTGATTTTCAGGGAAATTTTTTTGTAAGACTGAATATAATGATTAATTTTGAAGAATAGCATTTGTTTGTACTTTGTAAGGTGGGACTATTTGGGAGATGATGGAGCATACTACAAGGATATGGACCGGGTATTGGCTTTTCAAAAAGGATTGAGCACGTGGGCTCAGTGGGCCGACCGGAATATTAACAGCACTAGAACCACAATCTTCTTCCAATCACTTTCTCCAACGCATTACAAGTACGTGTCCTCCTCTAATGTTTTTCTTTAATGGGCTTTGGGTATAAGAATGGGCTAAATATCCGGCCCAAAAAATGCCATTGCAGTCCAATAGAGTGGAAGAACTCAATGTCTAGAAACTGCTATGGGGAAACAGAGCCGATGAGCGGGTTCAACTACACCAGCAACAACTTAGCAGAGGGGAGAATGATACAGGTGATTCGTGGTGTGCTGAATTCAATGCGGACACCCGCATACTTCTCCGACATTACGCGGCTGTCTGAGCTGCGAAAGGACGCCCACCCATCCATTTATAGCGGTGACCTCACCCCGCAGCAGCGAGCCAATCCCGACCATTCGTCCGACTGTAGCCATTGGTGCCTTCCTGGTCTCCCTGATACATGGAACCAGCTCTTCTATGCGGCCCTCTTCTTCTAACCTTTTTCCCTTTTTTTTTTCTTCTCCTCAATTGTTTAACATAGTTAATTAAGTTGTATTAATTTTTTAATGTTTAAGATTGAAGAATGGTTACATATTTAATGTAATATATTTTATTTAAATCTAGTTTATATACTTAGCTCCAAATACTCTATTAGCTAATTGCACGATTATGTCTCCTTAATTTCATCATATTAATACTACTAATATTTTACACAACTAAAAACTTGATGTTTCCACAGTTGTTCATTGTGGTGGTTTATAAATCGTAGCAATAAATAGGTATAAACAACCGTTTATACCACTGCAAAAAATTACTATTTAAATTTTTTTTTTCCCCACAGCATTCAATAACAACATTTTTTAAACTGCCTAAAAAAATTATTTCAAAATAGCCTCATTTACTGTCCCACCACTCTCCCTCCTATGTACTAGCTCCCGTTCCCGCTCCCACGTCCGTCTCCTAGGCCCAACTCGGTCTCTCTCCCGTGCCCTAGCTTCCACTCCTCTGGTGCCACCGCCTCTTTTTATATTCAATCATTGCCTTTGTCCGCTATCCACTTCTCTCATTCTCTCAAACCCCAAGGCCTCTTTTTATCCTCTCGTGCTCGTAAGTAACCTTTGTCGACGAAAGCATTACAACAATCTTATACTCCCGAGGATAAGATTTTTATACTCCTGAAGATGTTGCACATTCTTAAGAGGTCTTTTATTTTTAGGTAACCACGTTTGTTTATGTTGCTTTGGCTAACTTTCACGACCAAAAGCATTGCAAATTGGGAGAATTCTTAGGCAACTAAGTCTAGTTTTTTCATTCTGATATTTTCATTCTTTTTATATTTAAATTGTTTTAACTGTTGATATTTTTGGTATCTCTCTTGTATTTTATTTATAGTTCTTAGTGCAATTTGATTTGTGTTTCCTGTATTTGCTTCGCTAACGAAAATTCCCTACTTCCTTCAAATGAGAGTTAATGTTTATTTCATGTAATTATTTTAATATAAATGAAATCGGGCTAAGCGTTCATTTTACCCAAAAAAACTTTTGGTTTACTTAGTTTTTTGGCTTTAACATTAGGAACAGACTAAAGAAATTACGTTTGCTTGTTGATTTTTATAAGGGGTTGTTTGTTTGTAGGTATTTTGAGTGTATTGCAATTGAAATATTTTTTTTTTTTTAAATTTTGAGTATTTAGTTTGTTTGTATTATATTTTTTATCATAAAATTCAAATTTTTTTGCATTGTTTTTTTTTTCACTAGTGCTAGCTTTTATCAGCGGTTTTAACCACTATTAAAAGCGCTGCTAAAGCATTCCTACAACAGCACTGAAGCAGAACATATTAAATTTTACCTTTTTAGTATTTTCTGCTAAAAAATCATTTGCTTAGCCTTGGATGATAATAGGGAGGTTAGTATTTTTTTTTTAATCTTCTGAAACATAATATCATAGCGTAGTAACTTCTATTTTACTGTTATATCAATTGTTGCTTGCTTGAACAATCTACTGTACGATTCTTACATCAAGTACTCATGAAACTGCTGCAAAAGACTTTCTACCAAATACATATTCAACACATTTGCGGTGATTCCTAAACCACTACAAAGAATTTAGTAAGTGTTTAAATTAATGCATTATGTTAAAAATGTAGAAAAATTTCTATATATGGGTCCATATATTTATACATGTAAGTAAAGTATTATATATTATACTCTATCTAAGATTGATCCAATTAAATTTGTGATCTATTTAAGAATTTTATTATTTTTAGCTTATTTGGCATCTCAATTAAATTCGTATGGAAATAGTTATTTTTGTAGAGGCCAAACATTTATTTTATTTTTAATGATGGTGTGACACTACAAGAAAATCACTCATTTCCAAAGGAATTTTCAGGGGGAAAAAATTCCGCCGGTAAAACCCGTGTAGGAAAATAAATTCCGGTGGCTTTCCCGCTGATTTAAACCACCGGTTAAAAAGAAAAAATAATTAAAAAAAATTGTTTTCCGCCACCTCACTCCCGCCAACGCCAACTCGCTCCCGGGCCCGAGGGAGCCTGCCCGGCCAGCCCAATCCAACGCCCGAGAGAGCCTGCCTGGAAGCCCCCGCACACCCGTGGGAGCCCACCCGGCCGGCCCGCGCCACGCTGCTTCCGAGCTAACCCTCTCCCGCGGGAGCCCGCTCAGCCTGCCAGCGCCACCCAGCTCCCACGTAATCGGGAGCTCGTCCGCCAGCCCGCACTATCGCGCATGCTTCCGCCTGCCAGGTGATTCGAACTCGAGAATAAGAATACACGTTTTAGATATCTTGGATCTATTGTTCAAAGTGAAGGTGAAATAGATGAGGATATTATCAGCAAAATTCAAGTTTGATGGTTGAAGTGGAGGAATGCATCGGGCATGTTGTGTGATAGAAAAGTACCCCTCAAACTTAAGGGAAAATTCTATAAGATGGTAGTGAGGCCTGTAAAGCTTTGTGGTGATGAATGTTGGCCATTAAAAGAGAAGCAAAATACTAAGTTAAGTGTGGCAGAGATGAGGATGCTCAGGTGGATGAGTGGCTTTACCCTTAGAAATGAGCATAAACGTGAAAAGGTTGGAGTAGCTTCAGTAGAAGATAAGATTAGATAGAGTCGCCTTAGATGGTTTGGTCACATAAAACAACGGCCTTCCAATGACCCGGTTAGGAGAGTAGAGGTATTAGATTTGACTTATGTTAAGAAAGGTAGAGGCAGACCTAAAAAGACTTGATTAGAAAATATTAGGAATGACCTTTCTTTATTAGATTTAAACGAGAATTTGACCTTTAATAGGACACAATGGAGAAAAAGGATTCATGTAGCCGACCCCACGTAGTGGGATATAGGCTTGGTGTTGTTGTTGTTAAATCATTTAAATAGTTAAAATTTAAATCATTTTGATTAAAATTTTAAAATTTCGCCGGAAAATAAAAAAAGTCATTGGAAAATTCCGTGAGAAAGAAACCGCCATAAAATTTCATCAAAAAAGTTCTCATTAGTTTCAGTCGGAAAATAGCCGGAAAATTAGCCGCCGAAAATGGGTGCTTTTCTTGTAGTGTGAAAAAAAAATAAATACAATTAAAATATAAAAGGGTTATAGTCCCCAATTTAAACGGTGAAGTTCTCATTTCTCTCATTTCTCATCTTGAGTAAAAAGAAGGGATATATCACTCTTGTAGAACACTACTTCAAACGTGGAATATCGAAGACATTAATTCTTCATTTCAATGGATTCAGGTACGTTTCAGATAATTCTTCTCAATGATTTGACATGTCTTTTGGAGACGATGAAATTATTTTTTTCTGCCTCCTTTAAATTCTAACAAATGGTATCAGAGTTTGCTTTCATATTGAATTAACTAGAAGTGGTTTTCTACAAGCATGTTATTAATTTTTTTGAGTTTTTCGATCAAAGGAAATATTTGTTTGATAATGATTTTTCATTTGAAAAAAATTCTGCTTTCTTGATGTAAAATATTTGCAAGCAACTTTTTAAAATATATTTTGCTTTGTCTTAAAAATTGAGAGATGAAAATTAAATTGTGAAGTTTAACATTATCATAGTAGTATTGATTCTTCACTACTTTTGTCATCAATTGAGTTCATCATTTTCATGGATTTAGTTTTTTCGTATGAGAATACGAAAATTGTCATTATTTATGAATTTGTAGTATAAAGAACGGTTATTTTGCTATTAAACTTTAATTTGTCAATTATATATAAAAATTAAATGTATTTATATTCTTAATGACATGAGCAATTATATATTTATAATATCATTAAATTAATTAATGACTTATAACTTCTAAATTAAATGTATTTATATTCTTAATAATATGAGCATTTATGTATTTATAATATCATTAAATTAATTAATGACTTATAACTTCCAAATTAAATATATTTATATTCTTAAAGACACGTGCAATTATGTATTTTTAATGTCATTAAATTAATTAATGATTTATATCTTCCAAATTAAATGTATTTATACTCTTAATGATGTTTTAATATCATGTTAAAAATAAATTAATTTTATTTGTCTTATATCTGACATTTTCAAAGTAATCTTGAAATCGATGCCTTGTAAATCTATTTTTAATTATTTCTTGATCAAATTTATCATTTGATGCATTTTTTTATATATGAAGAAATGTTGATAAATAAATCAATTAATTTATTGATAAAATATATTTATCAATTAAATATTTCTCAATTGAAATAATTATTCATTATTTTAAAATTAAATTAAATTGAAATAATATATCACTAAAGTGATTTATATTAGATCAATTTATTTAATTTAAATTAATTGAATAATGCTAAAAAAATTTTAGTCTATGCGAAAAATTATCAGCCCAAAGGAAGATTATTTTTTTGGCTAGACTTTAAAAATGTAGTAATAAATATGTGATAATTTTTTTTTTTAATTATTCATGCTTAAAGAAAGGCTTCTTATTGGCATAATTTATTATCAATATTTATTAACTATAAATTTAATAGTCATATTAACAAATTATAATTTTTGTTCAAAGATTGAATTATGATGTTGTATTAAATATCTTATAAAGGGCCCACCTTATACTGTTATTAATTATGAGTTAATTTTTTGTTCTTTTTTTAGTTAATATTTCTTCATTATCTGTCAATTTAAATAATATTTTAGTACTTAATGACTCTAATTTTAAGAAATCAAAATAGCACATTACTATTATTCTTGGTTGTATGAATTAATTTAGACTATGCGATTCAGACTAAACGTCGTCCTACCCTACTACATAAAGTACTATTAAACAAAGGACAAATTTTGAAAAGTTGGAGCATTCAAATTGCATGAGTTATGATCATGAAGCATTTTATTCCAGATACCATAAGGGGTGCAACGCTTGAGGAGAAAAATATTAAGAAGTTATTAAGCCAAATAGCATATCGTTTTACATGTTTTGAAAATTAATGTCGAAATAAGTACTATTCTTAGTAAAC